ACCAAAAAAACGCTACTCAGTTGATCCAACTTCCGCAAAGGCTTGGTCTCCACAAATCCTTACTCTCCACACCCATGCTTTGTCGCTCCAAACCTTGAACCGTAACCTGATAAATCCTAAACCCTAAACAGCTTAAGGTCTGGATATCCCCAAAGCTAGACTAGATCATTGCCCCACAACTTCTACATCCTCGAACTCCAAACCTCGTAGCCCGAACTCCGGCCTGCCGAAAACTCTACACCCTACAGCCAAAAGCCTAGACCCTAAATTGGGTTGTATAGTAATAATGGAAAAGAACATGGAAGCTTCTATTTAGGGTTTAGGGTTTGGGGTTTTGAGTTTCAACTTCTGACTTCTTTGCCCAGGCTCTCTATGCTCACACGTGCCCCGCCTTGAGTTGGACTTGGGTGAAGTCGAAGGGGCCTGGGTTGGGGGTTGCAGCTGGAAAGCTACGTTCCCCAAGCTAACATGCAAGCTCCTGCTGTCCCATGTGATGCGGATGCTCGTGTTTTGGGGTCCTTTCGGGGGTCATGTGGGGGACGGTCAGGCCGTAGGGCTCACCCTTACAGGTTGAATCATCAGCTTGCAGAATTTAAGTTGTCATTGGGCCCGCTGCGAAATATGCACGATTTGTTGGTTGTGACTGCCGGAGTGTTCAATACAAGGAAGTCGAGGCCGAACAGTTTCCCTTCAGCATGCTGCTTTGTGTGAATGGAGCTGGGCTTAGCAGCCTGTGCCTTTTCTAGCCTCAAGGATCGAATCTCATGCAACAAATGCCATTTTCACCGGGAGTTCCAACTTCTTGCAAGAGGGGACGAGTGTACACGGATTTTTGTACAGGTGCATGGCGGCATAAAAGGAAAAGGTGCTGTAGAGCACTGAGCACTGTATGATCCCATACACGTGCCAAAATGAAAGCCTCGTTGGGCACCGGGAAGGACATGTAAATGAAAGACCCCAAAGGGCGAAGCTTCAAACGCCCACTTGGATCTCAGGTGCATGGTCTCCAAAGGAGAGTACTTGACGAGTGTCTTAGTTGTGCAGAGAGCGTAGGTGGGTGGATCTGTAAGCAAAGATTCTGCGAGAGGCTTTCGCATTTTTAGTTGTCGTGGTTGCCTTCGTGGAGGAGGTCATTTGGAATTTGGGTTTTGTTCTTCAGTTCAGGTTTCGCGTTTCGGTGACAGTTGTTCTGCTGTGGCCAAGTTCTGAACGCACAGCCCTAGACCCTAAGCTCTCAGCCCAAAACCCTAAGCAGGCAGCCTTTGATAGGCCCTCTTGTCAACGATTCCCGCAAGTTCAGCGTTTGACCTTACTTTCTGATTTGGAGTGCCGGGGTGTATGCCTCAATTGCCTTATGTGGGAGTATCTCATAACCTGAAGCGCCTTATGTTGGAGTAATATCTCATAACAATCCCACTAAAGTCCCGCACTTAATAGGCGCGAATAAAAGCTTTGTAAAGTCAGCCATCTATACCCAGGGTGCCCAAGAATATCCCATGGTAGACCCCAACCCAACACCCTAAACCCTAACAGCTGTAGCCTTGAAACCCTGAACTCTCAACCCTTAAACCCTAAACCCTTCACCCTTGAACCCTAAACTTCACCCTATAAAACCCTTAACTCTTCACCCTGAAGCCCTAAACCCTTCACCCTTACAGCCTAAACTCTCAACCCTTAAACTCTAAACCTTTTGAGAATTCCAGAATAACCCGCGGCCCAAGCCAAAGGCATGCTCCTGGAGCCCGAAATTGTCCAGCTGGTCTGGATGCTCCTCGGTTGGGCAGGTTGTTCAAGGATTTAGGGTTTAGGGTTTAGGGGTTAAGGATTGGGTTTAGGGTTTAGGGTTTAGGGTTTAGGATTTAGGGTTTAGCAGTTAAGGATGAAGGGTTTAGGGTTTAGGCTTCATAGGCTGCTTGTTAGTAGGGAAAGAAGCAGGTAGGATTCTGCGGCATGGTTGATTTCCATGTAGCAAGGGCTGCTTCCCCCTTCTGTTCCTAATCTGAGCTTTGCTTGTCATGGTCTAGTATACCTTTATGATATTTTTAGTATCCATTCTAGCGTACATCTGGAAGGAGGTCATCGTCTGCGGATCGCAAAAGCCAGCAAAAAGGATGTTGAAGGCGATGTTGACCTTGACGTCTCAATTGAGCATTTGGGGCGTTTTTGCCAGATTACTCTGCAGATCCAACTGGGTGGGGTAAGTACTTAAATCATGGCTCTCAATCACAAATGTTTTGCCCCGTCAGGTTAAGAATTCACATGAGTTCAACGATGCGAGGGGCCCCAATATGGCATTTTGCTGAGCGATTGGTCCTTCTAGTGTACCTGAGCATGTTGTAATCTGGATATGGGGTTGCCCCAAAATGGACATTGTTCGACATCTCCATGCTGATTTCGAATTTCCGCAGCAAACGTTGTCTAGCAGCTGAATGCGGCCAGTCTGGCTTCTTAGGATTTTGTGCGCAATTGTGTTTGAGGATTCTGAGTTTCGGCTCCTAGGCAGTTGTGATTCTGCTTGGGGTTTGCATCTACTTTTGCAAAGGCAGGTTTCATTGCTAGCAGGAATTTCTAGGGTGAGCAAGCATAGAGCGGCTCTCACAGCCCAAAACGCTAAGGTCATTTAATTTTAGCAAGCACGACTTGCTACCCTCAGGTATTACGACAGCTTCGAGTACCTGCTGCTACGGCTGCAAGTCGGTGTTCTGCATTGATCTGTTGGAATGTCCGCTCTCCACAGAGCTCTTTCATGTCTCTGCAGGGATCGTGCCAATAGTACAGAAAAGCATTGGTTGAGGCGATTCTTTGCTGGAAGAGCTGCTAGTACAAATTAGGGGCCTGGAGTGTAACAACTTGTCCAGAAGCACATGTCCCGGGGCAATCGTCGACTGACCTTTTTTTGTGTGCAAAGGGTGTTGCAGAAGCATGCGTTTTGTTTGCTTTTTAATTCTTTCGATCTTTGTGGGCCCCAAGCGCTACTCAGCTTGGTCACCATGACGGAGCTGCTACCATCAACGCTTGCCATCAACGCTTGCTATTTTCTCTTCATGCTTCGTGCTGTGCACTTGCCTCGGCCTTTGCCTCGTGGACGTTTCTCAGAATTTTTATTGGCAAGGTCATGCTGAGGTTACAGCCGAAATCTCAAGACTCAAGACCGAACACCCCCCGCCCGGCAATGCTTGGACGCCACAAGAAGGATTTGTGGTGGCCGTGTTGAAGACTTGTAGCAGGTTGGGGCCGTGCCGGATGCAAAGTACATGTGCTGGCGTCACGCGAGGTTCCGCGTGTACCTGGACACGCCAACGCAGTTCCTGCAAACTCCTGCAGCCACCGAGGGTCACATGTCCAATGAGGCGCATACGGTTTGCAGTTTGGCGAGGTGTTTGGTGCTTAGAGGGTCTGGGATTTGTGTCACATGTGGTGTGTGTAGCCTCAAGTTTTGGCAGCGTCTCATGCACAGAGAGGCTACGCATATATGTCGCAGAAGTCTTGAGGGGGAATCTCATCTCCTATGATCCTCACGTAATCCTAGCTAGCAGAACTGATCGCCCTTTGCTTGAGGGGTTAACGTTCTGTTGATGATTGTACAAACACTGCATTAGGCCAGGGTACTTGTACTCTGGGATCTCAGCTGCGACAGGGGAAATATGGGAAATGAGATGAATAAGCAGACCTGCGACATGACCGTTAGCAGGTTCAGATAAGAGCCGTGCTTGCACAATTTGGGGGTTTTACACACCCTTCATGAGGGCCCCCCAAGGCGGCCACAATCTGTTCGTCGCAGTGAGGCTCCCTACAAACATCATGTTGCCCATGTAAGTCCTATGCTTACTGGCGCCCGAATTGTCGAGGCCTTCCTCCAGTTTTGCATCGACTTCCGGCTGTTTCCGCAGATCATCGACTTCAACTCGCTGCCGCTCGGATCCAGTGGTTAGGGGACTCAGGGTTTGGGCTTCGGTGCAGCAGACTGTTTGTAGAAGGTTCCCGCAAGGCCATTGCCTGAGATGGCAGCGCGAGGTGTCTTAAGCTATCGCCTTCCCGTCAGCCCGCACTCTTGCCCCTCAATTGTCAGCACAAACATGCAGACGTTGCGTTGAGAAGGGCTATCCCCGAATCCTACAGAACCCCCCCATGCCCCCGGACTGAAATCCCGTAAATCCCGCACCCCTGAGCCCTGCCTCCGAGGAACTGCTACTACCAGTCGGCCGAAAGCATCATCGAAATCACTCGGGATGAGGTTAAGAGATGTGCCTTGACTTTTTGCGTCCTATTCTCATGCTGGCGATTCAGGGGGCAGGGCTTGCAAGTCTCGGGTTTTGACTTTGGGGTCTGATTGCGGCACAGGATGTCAGGCTAGCGAAGATCAGAGTCACGCGAAAGACCTTACTTTCCGAGAAGCAGGGGTCTTGTTTGTTGGGTCCTGACTACCTCGGCATAAGCCCTTAACGAAGGACCTCCCATAGTTGCAGTCATTTTGTGCCTGTAGCAGTGTCCATCATGAGTCTGATAGCATAGGGTCTAGCTCCAAGCCGTGAGTTTAGGTTTTAGGGATTTAGGTTTTGCGGTTTTGGAGTCTGGGCTTAAGAGTTCGTGGTCCATATTGGGTTAAGCAGAACTTCAACATACGATGCTTGCACAAGCTGTCCGCTCTGCGTCGGCCCGTGTGCAGTGCCAAGCTGAGGTACGAAGAAGGAGCTGGTTGCATGCTGCTTTGGTTGCTAACTTTAAGTGTCTAAGCGTCAGGGTTGCCGGAAATCAGGGGTCCCGTTCTTTTCGTAAAATAGAATTCCATCCTTCTGTTCGCAAGATAGACGTCCAGTGTTCTGAGATCGGGTTCTTTCATCTCTGAAGCTGCTAAAAACTAGGACGCGCCCCGATTCAAAATTCATAGACTCCACGACTTCACGAGACCTTTGAATTCGAAGCTTTCTTCTGCACACAGTGAGAAGCCTGGATGTAAGTGCCCGGGTGCACCCTGCATTCTCGACCCTATATATACCCTAAATCCTAAACCCTGATATATGGGGCGTAGAGTGCAATCCGGCAGGGCACGCCAATTCAAAACCTATGACAGAAGTCCCAATCCCGAGCTCTACAGCCTGGCTCGCAAATTCCCATGGACCTCATCCCTCCATACACCAGAAAAGCAGCCTGTGGTGCGATGGTGTGCTCAATCTGGCGCTGGTTCCACCCACCCTGGTTTCAATTCGGGTTTGGTTCAGCAAAGCTCTGGCAATGGATTCCTCGGCGCCAGCCGCAGGCAGAACGTAGGTCGTGCACTTGAAAACTCAGAAGCTGCAGCTTTAGGTAATCTTCCAACCACGCACATGTCGAATCTTGACCTCTGCCAGGGCCGTGTCTAGCCCTGCAGACTTTGCAGACTCTACATCCTAACCCATACATAGGCCCTCAAGTTCAAGGCCTTCAAGTACTTAAAGCAGAGTCCTAAGTCCTGTTCCAGCTCTTGCGAGGACGCCGAGGAGGCGGCTTTCCGGGTCGGCGACGTGGTGGAGATGCTTGGGCTGAGTTTGAGATCTTTTGGTCTGTAGGGTTGTAATGTAGTGGTCATGTTGTCATTATACAAAGCCCGTGTGTTCTTAGGAAGACAGGGCCTTTTTTTTTTTGGTCGGGGGTCGGAGCTGCAGTTTGCATTTTTGACGTCTCAAGTTGCGAAGCTTGGGATTGAGGGGTTTAGAATTTCGGAAAAAGCTCCTTAGCACTCGTGGGCTAGGCGGATGCTCAAGCCTGCTGCCAAAGCTTTTTTTGCTTGTGCAAAACGGTTTAAATTTTAGGGGTTGAGGATGAGGGGGCTACGTGCTGGGCGCTTTGTAAGAGGGGAGGGAATTTCGTGAAGATTGATGATTTGCATTTATGCTGCGTGCTTCCTATGATGTTTTTGAGCCCAGAAACACAAATACACCACAAGGGTTCCTATTGCATAAGTGCTGCGTAATTCTGGCACTGAAGCCTGAAGCCTCTTGGCCCTTCCTCAGTATGAAATCCGTTCGCACTCGAAGAAGCCAGGCCAGAATTTGGAAGCTGCCCCTACCGAAGGAACCACAAAATCAGCAACAGCCGCGCAAGCCTAAACCCCAATCTTGAAACCTCCAAAGTGGCAGTTTAAATGCCAAACCACCCAGGATCCCCAAACTTTAAACGCTGATCCATAAACCCGCATCCCTGAACTCCCTGAACCCTAAGCTCTAAAACCCTAAACCCTTAACCTGTAAACCCTAAATGTAGGGTACTGCCCCCACCCAGTAACAGTTTATATCAGGGGTCCTATTAAGGGCTATATATACCCCTATTACAAGTATTATCCAGGGGGGGCAGTACCCAACCTAAACCCTTGAACCCTAAAACCCATCCCTCAACCCTCACGCTCATGTCACAGCTGCTCAGGGTGCCGGCCTTCATGCGACAGGGCAAGAACGGCAAACTCAGGCCCTTGGGTTTTCGGGGGATCTCCACAGTCCTCATAAGAGCCATAGTCTAAACTCCTTAAAGGGGGTTTATATTGGGGATTATATAAGGAACTACTATAGGGGATATTCAGGGGGATACTAGGAGTTTAGACTAGAGCTCATAAGGTCCAGGGATGAGGCTTTTGGGTTCAGGGTCCAGGGTCCAGGGATCAGGGTTTGGGGTAGGAATAGGGGTCAGGTTTATGGAGGTAGTTCTTCGCAAGAAAGCAGAAATCCAGGTTGGGCAATAATGTTTGGTGTTGATGCCCTTTGGGAGCGTGGTGCTTTAGGAGGAGGCTGGGTTCACAGCCAGATGGTTTTGGGTGCAGGATTTACATGCCTCTCTGTAGGGGGTGGAGGAGCTCTCAGATTTAGGGCTGATCTGGATCAGTGGTGCCTTCTTGGTTCATGAAAGCTGCCTTTAGGGATTCTTTTAACATGAGAGGGAGTGAAAGGATTTGGCGTCATAAAACCTGTGGATAGCGTTTGATGGTGTTAGATTGAAAAATCTTAGACATTCAAGTTGGGTGTCCTTCTTTAGGTTCATGTCTGGATAACATCAGGTTCGGGGTCTACGTTTTGGTCATGGGTATGGATTTCTGAGAGAGTTCTTCCTGGACTGAATTAGGTGGAACATCATGACACCGAGTTGGGGCATGCTGCATCTGGATTATGCTGCGTGCCTTGGTGATGTAAGTGGTTGCAACTGTAGCCAGTTAGTTTCTGTCAAATGCTGCCGGAGAAGCAGGGAGCAAACACAGCCAGCAAGTTTGCCATCTTGCGTCAGGCCCTAAGGACAAAAAAACACTACTTAACATAACCCCAATACACCCCCAATATATACCCTATTATAATATAGTAGCTTCCATTTTCTTTTCCATTATCCCTATATGACCCTATAAAACCCCATATTCTATCTACTTAAGGGAGACTATAACCCCAATATATAACTCTACTACAATATATAGTAGTTTCCATTTTCTTTTCCATTATCCTTATATAACCCCCAATATAAACCCTAGATAATCCCTATATAACCCCAATATAACCCCCATAATCCCTATAGTTTCCATTTTCTTTTCCATTATCCCTATATAACCCCTATAATCTTACTAGGTTCGGACCTTTTTCCTTTGCTGTGCCTGTGGTTCGGCACTGCGCGCTCTGTTGCCAAGTCGACCCTTCGTGTAATGGACCGGTGTGCAAAGGTCAACATGGGGGTTTCCCAAAATTAGGGGTACCATTTTGGGGGTCCCAATAATTTGGACTATAATATTTTGGGGTCTATATTGGGGTTCCCTTATTTTGGGAAACTACCACATGGTCAACCATGCCTTGGAATCAATCAAGGCAACCGCGCTCCGGGAAGACCATGCGCTGTGCGACAGTTATGTTTTCTATCGCCGCGGTGCTTGTTGCTGTTTTGCGACATCCCTGCGATTGACGGGCATCCACTGCACTGTCGGCAGCCTATGCTTGAGGCCGAAGCCCCGTGCCCCAAACTTAGCGGGCTCTTAACCTCAAGGCCCAAGGTCGTTAATCTAAAGATCCTGAACCTCCAAACCTTATCAGGCACACCAAGGCCTTCCCCAAACTCGTAGGAGGATCCTCAAAGTAGAACCTCCCATTTGGCACTATGCGGCTCTGGACTGGTAATAATTTCTAGGACTTTTCAAGATTGGAAGGGAATCTACTTTCTTGACTATTCCAAAAAGGCCCTTAAAACCCTAAACTCAGCTTCCTTTTCAGGCCAGGCGATGCCATGAAGGCAGTGACCTCAGCCCAACATGGGGGTTCTCAGAACGGGGTCTTGCAGCGCTTGGGATACATGGAGTTTAGAGAGGGTTTACGGTTTAGATTCAGATTAAGGTTTAGTGTTCAGAAAAAAGGGTTTAGCGTTTAGGGAAATTCGGGGATGTATAACCCCAATAATGGAGAATCATATGGAAAAGAACATGAACATGAAATGGAATATAGGGATAATGGGTTTCCCAAAATTGGGTCTCCGTAATCTGGACTAGAGTATTTAGGGGTATATATTCGGGTCCCCGTACGAAGGGAGACTACGTTTTGGGATTACTCCTGAGAGTCCTGATACATGACCTTGCAGAAAAGCAGCAAGAGTGTACACTCAGAGCCTAGATTTGAGAATTTTCCTAGATAAGTTACTTGTACCCATTGGGGTAATCTCAGGGTTATATACTGGGGTAATATCAGGATAATGGAAAATAAAATGGAAACTACTATTTAGGGTTCAGGGTCGCTTCCTTCAGAGCATCTCAATTGATACTCCCATCTTCCCATCACTTTGCCCATGCCCATGCCCCAAGCGGACTGCCATGTTTGCTGATGGGTTTTCAGCTCGTGGCTTGAGTTTCCGGTCTGCAAAAGTGCAGTCGACCGATTTGTGCCTGAAACTGAGGCTTGAGAGTTTAGCTTGTAGGGCTTAGGCTTCAGGGAGGTTTGTTCGCGCGGAGGAAACTCCTTCGGGGCCCCCTCCAGAGGCATATTTCCCGTTGAGTGATTTTGTTCCTCAAGGTCGTATCATTTGTTTTTGCATGGGGGGAGGTGTTACAATATTTTGGTCCTGACTTATCTGCCACAGTGAATCAGTATCCAACCGCCAGAGTTGCACCAGATTTGTAGTTTGAGATGACAAATCAGATTCCAGGTGCTGCCAAATGTCATCCGCAAACACCCTTGAACTGTAATTTTCAGGACACCACAAACTGCACTGTTAGGTCATCGCTGTGGACACCTCTGACGTTGACGCTGAAGCTGTCTTGGTCATGACCGCACGTGACGTGGCAAGGTTTAGGGTTGATGGTCTTCACAGGTTACGCCTGTCATGGAGTGGGACGACCTGGAGTTGAGTAGAGAGAGCTATCAGCGGCTATCAGCGGCGTAATGGCTCAGGGTTCGATTTTTTTTGCGGGTAAATCTCGCATGTTTCGAGCGCCACCTTATTGCCAGCAAAAGTTGCTGGCCCCTCATCATGTTGTAAGATTGCGACTAAGAAGCTGTCAGCAAGGCGTCAGGAAACAGAGGCAGCAACAGCGGCGTAGATAGCACGTATTCAAGCATACAGACTCATTATTCGAAAGCCCTAAACTGCGAAACTGGCTCGGTCTCCAAATAATCCCAGCACAATCCCCCGTCAGGATCCCCCGAATTCCCTTGTCATCCCTACATCACATATCCTTGGAGTCCCTCGACCCCCCCCCCCTCCCCTTTTCGAGAAATTCCCAATTGCGGCCAGACCACAAGGCTTGAAGAAGCTCTGGGTGAAGATGGGACAGATCAAGAAGGCCGAGAAAGGTGACCTGAGCTGCAAAATTAGGATTGGAGGGTTTTGCATTTGGGGTACAGGATTTCGGGATTTTAGAGGCCTTTGAGTCAAGGTCAGGAGGAATTTGAGTGTATGAGCTAGGAGGAAGGTTTTTTGGGGCAAGCCAGCCCTAAACCCCTTGTAGTCTGTGACAAGCAAAGGCTTTAAAGGCCTGGTGTGTAGTTTGCCAGACCCTAAACCCTAAACCCTAAAGTGATTTCCAACATCGCTTGCTGTGAGTGATGTGCGTTGTAACCCATCTACGCAGGTGAAGAAGAGGACGCACACAGACAATTAGCAAACATCCCTTGGAACTGTGCCCATGACGCGCTAGGTACCTACAGGTCTAAGAAATGTAATCTCCCCTTTGTGATATCAATGTTTTAGGCTCCTGCCCAAGCGGGTCCTCCTAGGTAGTGGCCTTATCTTGATTTCTGTGCCTGCAAAGTGCTGAGCATGTTGATGTCCTCGACCTTGACGCCTCCCACTTCTTCAAGCTGTAAACTTGTAAGCTAGCAGAACTGGTTCTCAACCATTAACAGTTCCAAAGCCTTATTCAACCCCTTAACTTGGCCCTCACGAGTCCTTAGAACTGCCTGCGTTATAGTCCGAAACCCTAAACCCTTTATTTACCTGTCAAGCCCCAAGTGGATCTCCTTGGCCAAGATTTCGTCTCTTCCGAGAAGGCCAAAACCACAGCCAAAGTGGCATCGAAGGTCTGGCAGCTGCTTGAGCGAAAGGGTTTTTGGGGCCCTAAACCCTAAGCTAGGTACCCCAGTAGTACCCTTTTGCCCTTTTTTTTTGGGTCTCCTTATCGAAGCTGAACAGTAGGAAAAGGGGTACCCTTATCATGAATGGGTTACGGGGGAACCTAGTAAGCCGGGGATTTGAGCTATGGGGCTTCAGAGTGACACGTGGAGTTTACTGGTTTTGTCCTTTAGGGGTATCGGATTCCTCTTATCGTGCATCCACTGGCGCGTGGTTTAGCGCTGGGGCACTTAAGCAGTGCTAGGGCATGGTAGGGTGTGAGGTTGAGGAGGCCTAGGGCTTTGGATATAATTCCCAACGGAAGTCCCCTTACCGCCCCGTATAATCAATCCTTAAGCCCTAAACTACCCCAAGCAGCAAAAAGGCTAAAATCCTGCATGCAAATCATCAGGGTGTCGAAGGGTCTCCGTCTTGAGACATGGTTGGTACTTCTAGATAGGGGGATACCAGCATAGGCCCCCAAACCCTAAACCTTGTAAAGCCTACAATATCCCTAGATTTCCCGATAGACCCCGAAGCCCTGATTTGAGTAAAGCCATTTAATGACAATATCTCCATATAGCCCTTTGGACCCTAAAACCCTTAAACCCTTAAACCCTAAACCCTAAACCCTAAAACCCTGAACCCTAAACCCTAAAACCCTAAACCCCAATTCTTGGAAACCCCCACATCCCCAAGCCTCTGCCAGGCCACTTGGATCAATAAGGACTTCGAGGAGATGACGGAGTTAGAGAAGCAGCCTGCTTGAACAAACGATCTGACTTTAGAGTTTAGGTTTTAAGCTTTAGGGTTTAAGGCTTAGGGTTTAGGATTTAGGGTTTAAGGCTTAGTAGGGTTTAGGGTTTAAGGCTTAGGGTTTAGGATTTAGGGTTTAAGGCTTAGAGTTTAGGGTTTAGGGTTTGAGGCTTAGAGTTTAGGGTTTAAGGTTTAGGGTTTAGGTTTTGGGGCTTAGGGTTAGGTTATTAAGAGTTTACGTAGCGTGTAGGGATCAGGTTTTCTGGTTTAGGTTTAGGGAGTTTAGGGTTCAACAGGCGATCCGAATATCATTTTTTAGTTTCCATAAGCAGGGAGTTCCCAACATAGACCCCCAAAGTACTATAACCCTTCTCATGAGCACACCCAAAAAGGCACCCGAAAGTTTTGGGAGACGCGCATTTTCTGAGAGGAACTGAAACCACAATTCTGGATTCTGATTGCATTGGAGAGGCAGATTGCAAGCAATTGGAGCTAAATACGGATATTACCCCAATCATGGAGAATCAAATTGCAAAGAGAAGGAACATGAATTGGAAACCGCGATCCTACAGTGGTTCATAGGAATCAGGATTCCCAACAGTAGGGGTTGGGGATGGGGCTGTGTGCTCAGGGTGCAAGCTTCGAAGATGTTTCTTTTCGTTCAGTCCTTGGTCAGCGGTGTCGGGTTGGGTGGCTGGGGTGGTTAAGGCCTGTCCAGTGACAGTGGTATAGGATCTGAAATTCACCCTAAACCCTAAACCCTAAATCCTAAACCCTAAACCCTAAACCCTAAACCCAGGCCTGTGACATTGGGCTTCCCAGATCCAAGCCCTACATCCAGCTCTGATATCTCCGACAGAAGCACTTCCCAAAATATGGCCCTTCCACAGTGCCCATCCGCCAGCCCACCCTCAACCTTCAGCCTCATATCATGCTTTCCCCTGAAAGTTGAACACAACCGTACCCGTTGGTGGTAATATGTATTTTATGTCAAGAAGAATGGGTTACTGTAACCAAGCCTTCGACAGCGAACTTCAAGCCCTAAACCCTAAGCCCTGCCCTTCTTTTCGCAACTTTCTCTGTGGATCTCTCCTGACGGGAAGGGTCTGAACCCTAAACTCTCAACCAAAAACCGAGCCTAAGGAGAAGCCTGACGATCTTGTCTTCCTTTGCAGTCCCGCCCTAAGATCTGAACTCAAGGATTAGGTAACCACATGAGGACTACAGGCTGATAAAGAAATAGCGATGGAAGCTGCTATTCAGGGTTCCTCTGAACAGAAAAGAAAACGGAAACTACTGTTTAGGGTTTAGGGTTTAGAGGTATTCTCCCAATAATGGAGAATCAAATGGACACGACGATGGCGAATGACAGGGAAACTGTGAGTATATAGTGGTTCATAGGGATTAGGAGCCTGTTTTGGGGGTCGCCGTGATAAGGATTTTAGTATGAGGGCTACAGGCTTGATACTGGGTTGCTGTAGAGGAACTTAAAGTCTTTCAGTATATTAAGGAAGCTGTATTATTTACTACTACATATTCATTATGTGGTAACTTATAATATTCAGTTCTTTAGCAGCCCGGTATATGGGTTAGGGGTTCAAGATCTTGGTGTTTCGGCGCATCAGTTAGGGGTCAGGATGAACAGTTTGCGGATTCGGGCCCGGAAGACGCAGGTGGGTCAGCAGTTCCTTCCTTGGGGGAGCGCTTTTGATTTATGATGCAGCTGTTTTGTTGGGTTCTGTGGGGGCATAGCTTAGCGACAATCTTGATAAGGGTTTGCGTGCGTACGTACTACACTAAAGTCCGGACCCAGACAGCATGCCGTTTCTCAAGCGAATTTTATGCGTAAGGCTGTCTTCAGATTCTAATGCAATGTCTTCACCTGGTGGCCATGACTGCTGCTGCTGCTGCTCTGCGTTTGCCTACTCTGTCTGCTACTCCATCCCCGACTCCTTCTCGGACTCCGACCCCTGCTGATATGCTCCCTATACACCTTCCACTCCTCCTCCTATTATCACAGCACGACGAAACTTCAACTGCGCTGCTTCTACAATTACCACCACCATCACTGCCACGACTGCTTTGCCGCCGCCACCACATCTTTTGAGTTGCAGAGAGGGGAATGAAGAGGAGGTATCCGCTGCAAAACAAACAGCCACCAGAATCCAGTCCGCAAAATGACCCTTGGCACGTCTGTCATGCAAGGATTACATGAGCAGCCGCAAAGTGCGATCGAGACTTTGGCAGTGCTTGTTGGGCTGAGATCAGACAAAAGGTTATTTGAGAGCATAGTTCCAGATCGACAAGGATCAATCATGGGCATGTCTATGGGCTTGGTAGATTAAGTGCTGCATGGGCTTGCTCGGGATCAGGGAAGGCAAGGTAATCTGAGGCTTTTGGGTATAGCGTGCTTGTGTTGCTCGGTTTTCTGACTGCCCCGTGGATGCCCTTACATGCCACGAGGTCCTAGTTCTCATGCATCCCCAAACCGCTCACCCCTTTTCACTTGCTTGATGGTTTATGGGTTCGGGACTGCTGGTTGCTTCGTGTTATGCGTGTGGGTGGTTGTCAAAATTATG